GGAAATAAAGGCCTACAACTAGCCTCCCAATTTGACTTTGTAATACATCTTATGGCAAACTTTTGTAAAATTAGTAGTTTAACTATGTGTGTTTGAGCTGCATTACTCCAAGATTACTCATTATGTCTATAACTCAACTTCAATTTAATGCTTATTTGACCAGTGGTATTTAGACAAAAATGTTTTTATTCATTTAATACAAGTGATTATTTGATGAACTTTATTTGAATTATTCTTCAATGTTTTGTGTAATTTGGTTGAAACCTGAGGACGTTATCCATGCGAAGCCGAGAAGGCGATGCTATCTGTAAGAAGCCGAGGCGGTGGTGCTATCCGTATGAAGTCACGACGGAGGTGCCCAGAGTGAGAAGCTGGGTACTGGTCACTAGTTCTCAATAAATTCAAACATTTTCGAATTAAACTTTATATAATGTGAAAGGTTTGATAAATTGAAGCAATTGAATAGATTCCCCACTTAACATAGTTATCCAATGAATAATAAAAATCTAGAATAACTAGAGCAAACTGGAATAATCTTTAATTCAAAAGTTGTTGATCTACATTTCCAGCTTCAGTTTAAATAAATCCAGCCATATCCGGGTTCACTATATGAACGGTTTTGCAACTGTCAAATGTAGTCGCACAGCTGAGACTTGAAAAAGTTTTGCGCGAGTACACTTTCAATAATCAACTGAGTAACTATTTTCAACCATACCAGAATCGTTCGAACTGCAAACCTGAATAAGCATATCTTTACATACCTGTCATTGCATGACCAACTGTGTGTCCTATTGCTGAACCAACTGCCACTCCTCCAGCAGTGGCTGCCATTTGTCCAAATAAACCAGGCCCTTGTGAAGGAGCCGGTGCTGGAGGTGCTGCCTGAACATGGGCTGGTGGAGCGGGAGCAGGGGCTCTAGCCGGAAGGGTTGTTCTATACAAATGATAAAAAATGAGGAAAGGTAAACGTATGCTCATACATATAAGAATTTCAAAGTGCATATAAGGAATTCAACAACAAAACATTATGGTAAACGGTACTCCTAAAATGTTTTGAGGAACTTGTTTTATCAGTCTATTAGCTCTAGTTGCACAATAGATTGGTCTCCCTATGAAAGAACAAAAGCTTTTATATATTGTTATAAATTTTCTATAACAAAAAATATAATAAGACTGAAAAATTGCCTTGGCGTTTTTTTTGGAATTGTTGATTGTCCTTTATACTTCATTCTGCTGGAATTTGAATGATTTTTTTCTTTCAATGGGAAAACTTTACAGTAGAATCGTGTTTGAGAATGATTTAATATACCTACTAGTTGTTGCCCGCGGCTTCACCCCCGTAGAATTTGGTGGTTGTAGTACTAGATAGTACTATGTTGCTGTATCGCTGCTGTTCTAATGTTTTGACAGAATCAGAATCAACTAACTTAGGCGTGCGCAGCGTTATAGAACAGTGCTTTCAAAAAATTGTTCTACAGCGCCATCTAGTGGCGAGTTACAGAAAAACTGATAGCCTAAAAACCTTCTCTATGAAAAATGACTTATACATGTCAAGTTTCATCACGATTGGTTGAGCGATGTAGAAGTTTATCACTTACCAACCAACAAACAAACATTCGTTTTTATATTAATACTAGTTGTTGCCCGCGGCTTCGCTCGTGTAGAATTTGGTAGTTGTAGTACTAATTAGTACTATGTTGCTGTATCCCTGCTGTATATTATATAATATACATTAGATATTATATAAATAATATTAGATTAGAACATTAAGTTGAATTTAAAAGAATATAAATGTACTAATGAATCAAGTTAGCAATTATCTTCATAAAAGTGAACATATTAGGAAACAAAATCATTCACAACTCTACACATATTTTTTCAGGGGTTGCATTCATCAAAGAATGATAATAATCTAGTACATACATCTAGTGCTTTCAATTTTACATAACTGACAGATAACACCTTTTTTTTTTGTTTTTCACTTGCAAATTGGTTTTTGATAGGTTAAGTACTCAGAGTATAAGATAACAGGGTGTTCTTGATCACACGACTCACCTAACCATACGAGCAGAGTATGGTTAGGTGAGTCATTGAAAAATTTTGAATTTATCATATATAAGAAACTATATTCCTTTTCTTTACAAAACATTTTTCAGTTGATCAGAAGGGTTTCTGCCAAACTAAATTATTGGAAACAAATTCCTTGAGTTTGACAATATAGGAAGAAAACTCAAATAGATTGTATTTTACCTAGGATGAGGAATGTCTACTGATAACCCGAAACTGTTGCTCTTTTAAATTAATAACAATTGTCCAGAAAACTATCATCAGATTACTTGTTATATACTGACAACTTTGAAATATCTACAACTGAAGCCGTTAGTTCTTGGAGGTTTTAAGTTATTCCTGTTTCGAGATTGCCTATCTGTTTTAAAATCTGTTTTTCCGTTAATCAGCTATGTACCCACTAAATCAATTTGGGTCAATATAAACAAGAATTGTGTAATTATTGTACATTGATATAGTTGAGAGAGCTACTTGGTTCCTAGATAGCAAACTTCGTTTCGATATATCTAAATGCAAAGATGTGACTTTCTATAGAAATAAAGTGACTACCCTTGCTTATATATGTAATGAACACTCCTGATGAAGCTATTGTACAGTGAAACAGGTGTCCATAGCGTTACTTAATTCCATTATATACATTAATATAAATCATTGGTACTTTAGTGTAATGTGTGACCACTCTTATTGATTTACATTCTGACAATTATGTGATGCCATTGGCGGATACTTGATGAAAACAAACAAAGAAGTCAAAATATATTCAAGTAATAATTTATTGTGAAATTTTCACTGAACATTTTACAAAACCGCAACACATGTTTTCCTATACAGTTTGAACACACTATTGTATCAGTTATTCAGTGAAAATCCCACAAGTGCTACTTGAATATATTCTGACAACTTTGTTAACGTAAAAGTTTGATATACTGTGATAGAATCCTGAAAATTACAAGTCATATTGACAAAATCATAACCCAAGTAAAGGTCAGTATTTCTGAAGACACATGACACATCATACAGTGGATCATGAAAGGGAGAGAGACTATACAAAAAAATTTGAGCCTGTTTCCTTGATTGAAAATACAATAAGTCACAAGTAATACATTATTAGTTAGGATTATTTTTGGAAACAAATTGACATCAAAACTACGAAAAAGATTTTTTACCTGGGAGCTGGAGCGGACCTCGGAGTTGGAGACGACCTTCCTCTTCTAGGCATTTTGTTTTATTTTTGTATCTTATTCTTTATATGAATTGAACTTCTAGAATATATAAACTGTTACGCAACTAACCGATTCACTTTTTGCAGTACTCCGTCTTACCGACTTATATAGAATTAAACTTCTGACGTAAAATTTCTGGAAACGTCGAATTTCATAACATTCGAAATAAACAACACAAAGGTTACTTTGAGATATTGCGTCTTAGTAAGAAATAGAACATATATTGTGTTTCTTAGATTGCAACGGCTAGTGATGTGTAACTGTCACTGTGTAGCAGTGACACAGAACGCAAGAGTTACCTTACACACGTTTAATTCTCAATTAATACATGTCATGTGACGATTCGTGACATATTTTAATAATAATATAGATCTGCTCTGTATTTGGTATTTACGAGAACTAGCAAAAAAATGTGATCGGTTTATCGGTTAGCGTTTAGTACTTTTTAGTGTTGCATCATTTGTCATCGAGAGGGTACTACCAACATTTGTTTTCCAATTTCCAAATGAAAAGGGAGGTTTTGTGATACAACAACTGTTTTATTTTTGGAAATCGAATCAGACGTTCCTCAGTAATTATCAGTTGTATAATAATTTCAGGAACTGATAACAAACTATACATATTTTAATGTTAATGTATTCGAAACTCACTTTAGTTTGTCCTAATATTAGAAAATTCAGCATTCACTTCCTGGCAATAATGTAACTCGTTTCGTACATGATTTCGTATATCATGAAATGATTTTGGCTTAAATTTGGCCAGAGCGCCTCAAAAATTCTATACGTGTAATAGACTGCATATGCGTGATGCGGATGATGAACAGTTTGAAATTTCGTTGGAATAAACTGGGTTGGATTTTAAACACATTTTTTTTTAACTGTGATTTTTATTGTATGCAGATTCCTAAAACTAATAATACTTTTATAATTACTGAGATACAGCTGATCCGATTTCGAAAAATGAAATAATGTATTAATATCCAACAAGGTACAACCTGGAAAAAAAAGTTTGTAGCGTGCTTTTGCTGACGAATTATGCAATACTATACTAAGTACTGAAAATGATGAATTTTCACGTAAAGATCCGTTTGAAACCTAAAAGAGAGGAAAGCTATTTTGTAAAAAATATATCTAGTGTAATGAGTAATTGAGAATGTATGCCTTTTTAACTCGAAAGCGGGGCTCTTATAAAGATCTCAAGGGATGAGTATTCATCATCCTAACGTTTTTCTTTTCAAAGCGTGTGCATGAAAGTATCAAACATGTTTTTTACCATCGATTTATTTTTCATTTGTTAGTCATCACCGGTTCTTGTTCATTTCATTAAATGTATCATTGTTGCATGGTCAGTCCCTACAACATTTGTTAGAGCCAGAAAACACATATATTCGTGCTTTGTGGTTAGAGCATCATAGAACTACCCTAACCTTTGCCGAATCATAACTCTTTGAAACTGGTATATCGGTTATGTCATTTTCCAACATTTTGAATGTTTTCCCTTAAACCCCATCACCCAATATCTATTTGGTAGGGGTGGTTACACAATTTAGTCAACCATATTTGGGAGTCCGCCATATAATGGATTCAGAGTGAATTATTTTTTTTGTTCGTTTCAGAAAACTCTTTCATTTGGTACCAATATTATGAGGATGTATAAAAATCTAGTCCACCATTTTGGTCGGTCCGCTATATTGGATCTGAAGTGACGTTATGTTATTTTTTGAATTCTTCTCAGCTATATTTTCATTTGTTCCCCATATATCATGTGGTACATATAAAACTTCTCCGCCATCTCGTGCGGTTAGCCTAATTGGATTTGAAGTTACTACATGCTATTATTTGTATTCTTTGTAAAAAATCCTTTCATTTAATATCTAATAAATCATAAGAGTACATAAAAAAATAGTTCGCTATCTTGGCTGGTCCGCTATATTGGATTAAGAATGATGTCATGCTAGTTTTGAATTATTTTAAGCAAACCCTTTCATTCGATACCATATCACTAGGGTTCATAAAAAACTAGTCCACCTTTTTGGGTGCCATTATGAGGGTGCATAAAAAACTAATCTGTTGTCTTGGGCGGCCCGCAGTGTTGGATGTAGAATGGATTCACTTGCCTTTCCATCCAAACTAAACGTGTAAATGAAATTTTAGCAAAATCGGTTAAGAATCACTCCTTCAAAAGTTGCGAAATTTAACTCGAACTAACATACAAATATACATAAAATCAGATTTGTTGAAATATGTAAATTTGTCGATTTTGAAATTTTGGGTTATTGCACATTCTTAAACTTAACTACGGTTCACTTATGAAGACACATTGTGGACGATAATTTGGAGTAATATATGTTCGCAATTTCTTTTATTGATTTGTTTCAAGGACATTATTGAAACCATAGAAAAATTATAATTTTGTTTCTTCACTCATTTTCATTTTATTACGGTTCCGACCTTTTATTGACTAAAATCTTTGGACGTGGAAATTTGGAAAAATATATTCAAATTACATTAGGTAGTTTAGTTATTGGGGTGAACTGGAAGTTTTCATTCTTTACATCTTTATGAAGTTTATCATTAGGACTGTTTTTTTTTTGAGATTATGAAAATTCCCACACCGATTTCATTAGATGTCATATGTTTAACCTTTCATATACAATTCAGTCTCGATATCTAACATACAAATCACATCCAAATTCCTTATTGCATCTAACATAAAGCTGTAGTGACTAAGACAGACTTAATACTTGTGCGTATGCAGTGCTTCGCCAATGATGATCTGATTGTAGTGCCCATACACGTAACCGTAGTGCATCTCATAGTAGTGCTTATACTCTAGTGCAGCCAGACATTGTTTTTAATCGACTTCAATTTACAGTTGAACTTTGTTTTAGCGTAAATCCAGGTGGGGTATGGGCCCGACTCAGACCCACTTCCTTGTGGCTTCACCTGTTATAGCAACATGATTCCGAAGCCATTATTGAAAAATAGAAGAAGAACCATTTGTTGAACACACTAACGCCCTCATCGGTAGAAATTTTTCCTATTTATTTTTCATTCTTTAAATTGATGTCAATTAGTTTGTTGAAGTGAATTTATTGAGGGTCGTTAATTTGAAGTAATATGCCAAGGGAAATGCTTCCTTTCATGAATTTACGGATGAATATAATTCTATACTGAAATTCCCAATGATGTGACAACTTTTTTAAATTCAGTGTATTTATAATTTTCATTTCTGTTTTGTTTGTTTGCATTGGTGAGTAGCTACCATAATTTGGAATAGGTTTCATCCTGAAGATATTTTTTATGGAAAAAACTATTGTAGGTGACACTGCCTACAGTCCCAGATTAATATTTGAACAAGTAGCTCTTTATAATAAATAATATGTGCTGTATATGTAAAACGTAAGTGTAGTTGTTTCAAATTATAACTTTTTTTTTTCTGTAATATTTTGTTTTCAGGATTACATGCATATCAACTCTTATTTGCCTGATTATTTTAGTGGCTATAATTACTGGAGTGGTATATTTGGTACTTTATTTAAAAAACAACAATATTATAAAATTTTAGATGTTGCCAATTGAACATTTTTTACTGAAATAAAAGATGTTTTACAAATTCTTAGTGTAATTTTCAAGTTCCTACCTAAATAGTAAAGATGATATAAAAGGAGAAAATGTAATCAAAAAATGTGGAAAAAATATGATAAATTTCATACCTTTGTGCATATCACTAATAAATATATTTTAGCAAAACACAAATGATATCTGTTGTACTTCTCACCGCTTTTTTTAGTTTATATGAATTTCAAAATGTTAACAGAAAAGTTAGAATTTAAAAGAACAACATTTATTATCCACTGCATCCTTTGAGATGAGGAGAGCATGCATGCATACAAGTATCTTGATTGTCATGAAGAAATTCTTTGAGAAAATTCAACAAAAGTACTGAACTTTGGAAATATTTTTTTTTTATTTCGAAACTGATCCTGCCACAATTATGTACCCTGAAGATGTTAATTTTGGATGCGTGATTATGATTTACTCTGTCTATAAACAATCATTTTCTCATCTCCTATATTGTCAGAGGTGGAGTGTTGATAAGACCAGTAGAGTAGAATACAGAACTACTTTCTTGTTTATTCCTACACTGGTCTTACACTGGCCCCGGAGTAATACTCTGAAACCAGTGTGTAGAGAACATTCAATTAATTTCAGTATAGTACCGCTGCTGTTGGACGAACAAGAAGAATTGTAAGAATTAACTCTGTGAAGAAACTTGCATCACAAATAATAATAATAATATTTATTCAGTTGGATCATCTATAGATGACATTGACTATGACAAAACATGTACAAATATAAAATAAAAAATACAATATCTGTGCACTTAGAGATACAATATACAATTTACATAGATAATTTAATATAATATATAATAGTCAAAACCAAAAAGAATCTGTTATTTATGTAACAGCATCGTTATTAAAATCTTCCTAAAATGATTTATCAAGGAACAGCTCTTTGATTTGATAGTTATACTGTTTTAGAGCCAAATTTTTTATCATACTTGGAAGTTTATTATAGAATTTAATGGCCATAAGTCTGAGACATGATTCAGATACAACTAATCCGTGTGTTGGCACTCCCAACTGTAGGAAATTTCTAGTATTATAATTCTTATTACCATTAAGAGTAGGAAAACTGGTTATATGTGATTTTACATATTTTAATATCTCATAAATGTATATACTTGTAACAGTCAATATTCTGAGATTTTGGAAGATGTTTGAAACTTGTCTTTCTAGTAACTCCTGCTATATACCTTATTGTTCTTTTTTGAATTTTGAGGATATAAGCCGTCGTGTTATCAGCCAGGAGAGTAGTTGTTTCAGGCAGGTATTTGCCAGATCCTACTACGTAGGAAAATTGGGAGAGGTGAATATTTGGTGTTTCATTCCAAATGTTTATTTTCTTAGTACACTTTTTAGTTCTTAGATAGACTACCTCTTAATTATATTCTCGATTTGATTCAGGAATACAAAAATAAATCACAGTTGAAGCTAAATCTGGGCATTAGAGGGTATGTTAATAAAATAAATTTTGGTTATGTGAGGGAAATATACATAAATGAAAATATTCATTTCAAAATTGATTATAGACTTTTATAACTATGTTTGCACTGTATTTACTGAATATATGAGAGAGATAAATCAAAATATCACTAGTTTTCTTAAAGTATATTGAAAAATGGGTTTTCACGACACTTGTCATACTCTTTAACCCTTCTGTATCGGGTGAAAGTTTGAATTGTTTTAATTTTCATTAATTTTTGTTTTTTATTTCTTTTTTCTTTCAATTCATAAAGTATTCTTTCATAATTTTGGTATTTGCTTTCTAGTTGTGTATTGTTTGGATCCCTTTTTGATTGTAAATATATGTCAGTGATATCTGAGCTGTTGGCCACACAGTCCATACATTTTTCTCTTTGCAATGTGTGACACTGTTCATCACAGTTATTTGTTATAATAGTTTTTGTAAACATATTTTTATTTTAGTATAGAAAATAGCTAAAAATGAATTTCTGCAGGTACTCCAAATTTTTTGTCTGTCTGTTTTTGACAAATGTTTGAAATTTTTGAATTTTCACAGAAGAAATAAACCGTACTCCATTTGAATATGCTTGAGAGATGTAAAAAGCCATCGACCAGTCTCTATATTATACAGAAATATTTTTCTGAATTGTGCAGCAAATCATGAGTTACCAGTCTGCGATAACTACAAAGTGGATTGTTGGAACAATTTATGCAGTATGTGTAGAAGTGGTTGGCTATTATGTCCATCCTAAGGACAACATCCACTTCCAGGATTGTTGGTGGCTGAACAGTGAAGATCAGATGAAGAGACAAGAGATCCATGCTAACGCTATGAGGACATATATTCCATTGGTTATGGTACCACCTATCACAGCGAACACCAATATTTGAATAAAATGAGTTGCTTAAATTTTACTAGTTTCTTTTTTTTTCACGATATGGAATATCTAGTTAAAATGATACGTTGGATTTTATGAAAATAATAAAAATTAAATTTTATTATCATTCTTTTTAATCAGGTACAATAATATTGCAATTATACTAATGAACTTTCATTGATCTTCAGAGAATTCCAACTACTTCATAAATAGGCGACATCCTTTTCAAAACTCGCCTTACCAAATAGCTATTGGGATCTTTTACTTTATTCAATTTAATTTCATAAAAGCAACCTTTGATCGGATGCCCATTCACATCTTCTAACTCATAAGTTATAGGCTCGTTACTATGAATTTTCACATCTTTGGAAAGTTCAGTGGTAAAGTTTGCTGCATAACCTTTGGAGAATACATTTCTATACTTGCTGATTCGAACCATATCTCCGATTCTGAGTTGACTTTTTTCACATTTGCCAAGCTGTTGCCCCTTGGATTGCATAAACGGACAATTTTGTGGATGGTTTTACCTCTGCAGGCTTCATGCCAATGGTGTGATGCACTTTGTTATATTGATTGGTAATTTTAGGAAGAATATTCAACCATCTGTAATGTCCTTGAAGTGAAAATTGTCTATAAAGCCAATGTCCGTTAAGTTTCTGGTAGCCCTTTGACTTATTACATGATTTGAAAAGAGACAATAATTTGATGATCCTTAAATTTTAATGTAGGTAATCATTACTTAATTAACACTTCAACTGGTTGCTCACATTTATTTTTCATTTTAAACAAATGGTAATTACATAATATAAAGATAAGAGTACACACATAAAGTATTGAAATTTTTGTTGTACCTCAATAAAAGAACAGTGTCAAAGTAATAAAACGTGTATTCCCAATTATTAAAAAACAAAAGGTCAAATAAAATATATTCTGATTGCCCCCCTTTTTTAAATAGTTATTTGTGTGGAAAATGACGAAAATTTTAAATTGTCTAGTGTTACTTTTGGTAAATTCATTAAGATTTTTAATAAACTAGCTACTTTAAAAAGTCAGCAAGATTTTCTAAATGCTCCTTACCCATTCTAGGTCGTAAGTAATCCATACTTAATTTTAATTTAGAGAATGGTTTCAGCGCTCTAGCTATAGAAATTTGTATTGTTGGTAATATACATAATGCAATAGTAATGTTTGAAGAAGAATGAGTTAAATTTTGTTATAATGTAATTGAGTGTTTCTATTAGAGAAAAAGTCACATTTTGCAAGTATGCAGAAATTGTGATTCCTGTTGAAGTTCTGTTTCGTATCTATATCTTTTTCGTTTTAATCTTTGACGGTTGAAGTTTATACAAAAAAATCAATTGGTCTTTGTCAGAATACTTGTTAAAATTCTCAATATTCCACAAAATTTTTAAAACATCAGATTGAGAGGATGGTTGTTATTTGTATTTTTTTCATTGTGATTTCAGTTTTTTTTTGCTTAATATAATAGTTTTTTTCAGCTAATCTCTTTTTAATTTTTTACAGATTCTTTCAGGGATTTCAAATCAATTTATATCATATTAAACAATGGAAATCCGAACTAATGAAATGCACGAAAGGATAATAGTTCAAAAAATTCATTGACAGATGAAAGAGTAACGTTTAGCACTGCAAACAAAACCTCACTTCAAATTTCTAAATATTTGAATTTGAAACGTTAGTTTTCAAAAACACCACCGTTTGGTTGAGGCAGAAAAAAATGTAATTCTTGAACAAGTGAGAAAAAATGTAGGTATACTAAACAAATTCGAGTTTCTCAAAACAACAATTTTATGAAAAATGTGAAGATTTTCTATATAGGTACCTACTTGGGGACGTCCAACTTTTAAGAATTTCTGTCGAGCTTCAAGGTTCTTCTTTTTTTTTTATCAGAAATGTGAAATTTTGTATACCCAGAGGGTGTTTTTTTAAAATTAAAAAATCTGCAAGAATTCCTGGCGACCTGCAAAGTTTATTTATGTAATGAGAAAGGTGAAATTTGTTTATTCTAGGAGGGTGGGGTTGAAGTTTTTGTCAAAAATGATTTATAGTCAAGATTCTTATATAGGAGGTTCGATCGACAAGATTTTCTGCTGATCTGCGAGTTCAATTTTATATTTTGTCAGAAAAGTGGTATTTTTCTATACTGAGTGGGTGGGAGTAACTGTAAGGGATCTGTCACAAATTTCATCTCTGACAAATCCGATTTGGAAGTTCATTAGTTGCTAGGTACAATGGGAATAGTTTGCTGACCTTCAAAGTAGTTAGACCCAAATATACATGTGTAGACGATTTCAATTAATAAAAATGAATATGAAATTATGACTTTTACACACCACTATAATTCAATAACAATTTATGCAATAGTTATAAATTAAATCCATAAAGGTTCAAGAAAATAGTTGTGCAGTAAAGCAAGGTTTGGACTGTTTCATGTTCAACAGACAGAGAAGTAATATTTTCCAGAATGAAATTTAAAACAAATGAGTAGTTTTTACACCCACAAGGCATAAAAAGTTACGAGAATTTCAGATCGAAGTTATTAATATTTTAAAGGACATCACTCTACTCCATATGCAACCAGCCATACAGACAAAAATATTGAGGACGCCCTGCCTTACAGGACCACATCAGAACTATAAAAATAAGAACCCATAGCAACTAATCTAAGTAAAAGTAAAATGAACAAGCATCAAAGGGTTTCAGTTCAAAGAATATTTTACAACAGAAATAAAGATAGTTGTTTATTATACAAGGGAAAAAAGTATTAGATTTTAGCTCAAGGATTTTTTCCCCTGTATAATACACAATTTTTTTCTGTGACGGGAGAAACGACGATTTAATATTGAAAAATTTAATTTCTACCTTTAGTTATGTGTATATCTATATATAGGTATATATCCGTGAAAAAAGTACTCACTTTTTTCACGGGGACCGGTGAAAAAAGTAATTTCATGAAAAGTGACATTTTGTTACCTGTCATCAGAGATAAAATGCCAAACTTTTTTCACGTCACAGAAAAAACTACATTTTTCTTGATAGACTACAGTAACCAATCTCATTGAACCTTTTCACCATTTGACAGAACTATACACCAGAAGACATATATCTTTATGGTATATAGTTTCATTTTGAAAATACATAGGATTTTTTTGACTAGTTCTTGGCCAAAAATCTGAATCTTTGTGGTGAATATGTGTCTTTGAATTGTTTCTTTTGCTTATTTTAACATACTGTACCGAGTGAGACTTATCAGAACATGGATCTATTGGATCGTCATTGGCTTGTTTTACTAATTCTAATTTCACTATTACAATTCTCAGTAGCTGTACTGTCTAGAAAATCTGTGGGCTTTCATTTTGAAGAAATCTGTACCTACCCTTTATAGGTTACTCATTACGAATCTACCTGCTCGCGTCAGTTGGCAAGATCTGAAAGATTACATGCGTCATGCCATAGTATAAAGATAAAAGGAGTAATGTTAGGAAAGTTACATTTGCAGAGACACTTAATCTTTACCGCGATATGGGAATCATAGAATTCGCTTCAAAGTCCGACTTGCACGCTGTTTACAGACAAATGAACGGTACTTTATTGAAGGGTAAACGAATTTCGAGTTATGGTGCAGAAATACCTGGTGAAATGATGTCCGATTCACACAAAGAAGTTTCTGTCACAAGGCCACAAATTAATCCACTTTCTACCCAGGAGGAAATACTGACCATTCCAGTGAGTTGTACGTGGACGATGTCTAACAAAAACTAGCCAATATATGGACAGAAGGTAGAAAAAAATTCCCATAAACCTGGAGATGTGCACATTACGTGGGATCCGCTTTTCAAATTAAAGCTTGGACTATACTCAATTCGAGGATTTCTTTTCTAGAGATGAGTTTATGATTCATGGGCCTGCTTACAGTTTTATTGAACTTGATATCGAAATATCATTATTATAAATGCAATCGTAATGTGAAAATTTGTTTCATTTCCTTCGCCTAAAGAAAATGTGCGCTAGATAGATGAAATCGAAATAAATTATCGATCTGTGCTTATCATTCTTAACTTGGAAATGTTTAAATTCGTTATGCTCACCCTATTTGTGATGATTCAATGTGAAAAAGTACATTTTGCAAAAAAGCAAGTAGTGCTTTTAGCCATAATAGATAACATTGTTGAAATATAACATCAGATTTTGTTGAGTACTTGAAATTAGAAAAATTGAATGAGGAATGTATTGAAAATATGTGATTTTTTCAAAGCACTACTATAAAAAACCACAGAGAAAAAGAGGTAATGTCATATAATATCCATTACAAGAAACGTCCATTTTAAAGTTTATAATTTCCAAACCAGGTTGAGATTCAATTTTTATTTACGAAAAAAAGTATTTGTATTAAGTTTTGAAATGATTATGAAGGAACATTCATTTTTATAAAAAATAATGTACTATAAACTTGAATAATAAGGAGGTATCTCTGTCTAGTACTCTATGGTGCCTGAATGAAATAAAGATACTTTCCTCTAGAGAACGATATTAGCTCCATTTTCAATATTTTGTGAATCTCTTGTTTTTTTCCTACAGTTCTAAACTCATGTAAAGCTGATTTGTTGATAATCTTATATTTGGAAGATTTTTAACAATCACTTACCCTTATAGAAAATCACATTGATTACTCTCGCCACTTTACGGAAAAATTTAAAAAAATAATGAACGTGCATCGATCACAAAAGCATTTGAATAAAACCAACATTTTGCAAACAGAAACCTGTAAATTAGGTAGTGAACTAATATAATTTCACCACCGGTTTGGTCGATTAGTATTGGTCGAAGGCAGATGATAAAATTTTAAATTTGGTATTTATAAATTATCTATGATTTTATGTGAATTTGGTGTACCTAATGAAATTTCAAAAAATGTTTATATCCAACTCGACGGCGCGGCGTGTGTGACACACGCCGCGGTTATGACAAGACTGCTCCGGTTTTTGTCCCACCTTTTTCAGGACAAATTTTTGTATGTGGGTGTTGGTTGACAGGTATTCTTTGATTAACGTATTCAAAAAAATATGAGATTTTCACTTGAAAGTTCACAAAACCGCGACACGTGTTTCTCTATAAAATAGCATCTTTTGGGGTCACAAATTCTGGGTCATGTCAAAGCTGCTGTACCCCAAGTGTTTGATTCATGCACCCACCTCACCTTATTTTTGCTTCAAATAACACTTCAAATTTCCCACTACTGCTTTGCAGACACCAATCAAGTGATCCTTATAAAAACGGACCTAGTAATGATTGTAGAATGGAAATCCATGAATATTGTGGAGATTAACGCAGCTAAGCTGAAGAAACCCTAGAAAACCAGAGAAATCTGTGCCTACTGGGCGAATGTCCGGTGTTATTATTCTACCTTAATTTCGCCAAAGCAACATCTGGTGATCTCAGCAGCCAGCAATTAGGTATCCCTTACTGATAATACCCAACTATCTTATAGCATCACTTGAAAATTGAATATCTTGCCATTTCCTGATGATACTTTAATGGAAGGTGGTCGATGGAGATTTCCTTCATCTGTTTCTAATATTCAAACCTATCTAATTATGCAGAGTAATTTTTTAAAATGAAACATGAAACTGGAACCTCGGTGTAGAATAAATCCAAAATATATTTTTCATCTTTTGAAGAAGCCAACTTGGTTGGTGAAACGTGCATCAAAAGAGAATTGCAGTTCTGGTGTTTGGGAAGAGTACTTGCCTTGGAGTACTTTTGTTCTTTTCATCCATTTATGGAACTTCAGATAGACATTTTTACCACGTTCATTTTCCCTTATACTCCAGTCATTTAAGCTTAAATTAGGTAAGAATCTCGGAATTCGAGATACCCAGCTGTAAGTCTGTAAATACTTGTATATTGACACCCTAAAATTTGTCTGAAAACCTACATATTGTAGGGTGTACGCAACTATTAAATTTCAAGGTAAAAGGTCACAAAAATCGGTTTTTTGCGCTTTTTTTGGAAATATCTCATTTCCTATGGGTTTTTTGCCATTTGTATTT